GACCTCTAAAACCAGGCCTTTGACCTCTTAAACCAGGCCTCTGCCTCTGAAACCAGGCCTCTGACCTCTAAAACCAGGCCTCTGAACTCTGAAACCAGGCCTCTGACCTCTGAAACCAGGCCTCTGACCTCTGAAACCAGGCCTCTGACCTCTGATCTCTGAAACCAGGCCTCTGACCTCTGATCTTGAAACCAGGCCTCTGATCTCTGAAACCAGGTCTCTGACTCTGAAACCAGCCCTGACCTCTGATCTCTGAAACCAGGCCTCTGACCTCTGAAACCAGCCCTCTGACCTCTGAAACCAGCCCTCTGACCTCTGAAACCAGCCCTCTGACCTCTGAAACCAGTCTTGACCTCTGAAACCAGCCTCTGACCTCTGAAACCAGCCCTCTGACCTCTGAAACCAGGCCTCTGACCTCTGAACCAGCCCTCTGACCTCTAAAACCAGGCCTCTGACCTCTGACCTCTGAAACCAGCCCTCTGACCTCTGATCTCTGAAACCAGGCCTCTGACCTCTGAAACCAGCCTCTGACCTCTAAAACCAGGCCTCTGACCTCTGAAACCAGGCCCTGACTCTGACCTCTAAAACCAGGCCTCTGACTTCTGACCTCTAAAACCAGGCCTCTGACTTCTGACCTCTAAAACCAGGCCTCTGACCTCTGAAACCAGGCCTCTGACTTCTGATCTCTAAAACCAGCCCTCTGACCTCTAAACCAGGCCTCTGACTTCTGACCTCTGAAACCAGGCCTCTGACCTCTGAAACCAGGCCTATGACCTCTAAAACCAGCCCTCTGACCTCTAAAACCAGGCCTCTGACCTTTGAAATAAGGCCTCTGAACTTTGATCTCTAAAACCAGCCCTCTGACCTCTAAAACCAGGCTTCTGACCTTTGAAATAAGGCCTCTGACTTTGATCTCTAAAACCAGGCCTCTGATCTCTGAAACCAGCCCTCTGACCTCTAAAACCAGCCCTCTGACCTCTAAAACCAGGCCTCTGACTTCTGATCTCTAAAACCAGCCCTCTGACCTCTAAAACCAGGCCTTGACCTCTTAAACCAGGCCTCTGACCTCTGAAACCAGGCCTCTGACCTCTAAAACCAGGCCTCTGAACTCTGAAACCAGGCCTCTGACCTCTGAAACCAGGCCTCTGACCTCTGAAACCAGGCCTCTGACCTCTGATCTCTGAAACCAGGCCTCTGACCTCTGATCTCTGAAACCAGGCCTCTGATCTCTGAAACCAGGCCTCTGACCTCTGAAACCAGCCCTCTGACCTCTGAAACCAGGTCTCTGACCTCTGAAACCAGCCCTCTGACCTCTGATCTCTGAAACCAGGCCTCTGACCTCTGAAACCAGCCCTCTGACCTCTAAAACCAGGCCTCTGACCTCTGAAACCAGCCCTCTGACCTCTGAAACCAGCCTCTGACCTCTGAAACCAGCCCTCTGACCTCTGAAACCAGGTCTCTGACCTCTGAAACCAGCCCTCTGACCTCTAAAACCAGGCCTTGACCTCTGACCTCTGAAACCAGCCCTCTGACCTCTGAAACCAGGTCTCTGACCTCTGAAACCAGCCCTCTGACCTCTGATCTCTGAAACCAGGCCTTGACCTCTGACCTCTGAAACCAGCCCTCTGACCTCTGATCTCTAAAACCAGGCCTCTGACCTCTAAAACCAGGCCTCTGACTTCTGATCTCTAAAACCAGGCCTCTGACCTCTAAAACCAGGCCTCTGACCTCTGATCTCTGAAACCAGGCCTCTGACCTCTGACCTCTGAAACCAGCCCTCTGACCTCTAAAACCAGCCCTCTGACCTCTAAAACCAGGCCTCTGACCTCTGAAACCAGCCCTCTGACCTCTGATCTCTAAAACCAGGCCTCTGACCTCTAAAACCAGGCCTCTGACTTCTGATCTCTAAAACCAGGCCTCTGACCTCTAAAACCAGGCCTCTGACTTCTGACCTCTAAAACCAGCCCTCTGACCTCTAAAACCAGCCCTCTGACCTCTAAAACCAGGCCTCTGACCTCTAAAACCAGGCCTCTGACCTCTGAAACCAGGCCTCTGACCTCTAAAACCAGCCCTCTGACCTCTAAAACCAGGCCTCTGACCTTTGAAATAAGGCCTCTGAACTTTGATCTCTAAAACCAGCCCTCTGACCTCTAAAACCAGGCTTCTGACCTTTGAAATAAGGCCTCTGAACTTTGATCTCTAAAACCAGGCCTCTGATCTCTGAAACCAGCCCTCTGACCTCTAAAACCAGCCCTCTGACCTCTAAAACCAGGCCTCTGACTTCTGATCTCTAAAACCAGCCCTCTGACCTCTAAAACCAGGCCTTTGACCTCTTAAACCAGGCCTCTGACCTCTAAAACCAGGCCTCTGAACTCTGAAACCAGGCCTCTGACCTCTGAAACCAGGCCTCTGACCTCTGAAACCAGGCCTCTGACCTCTGATCTCTGAAACCAGGCCTCTGACCTCTGATCTCTGAAACCAGGCCTCTGATCTCTGAAACCAGGTCTCTGACCTCTGAACCAGCCCTCTGACCTCTGACTCTGAAACCAGGCCTCTGACCTCTGAAACCAGCCCTCTGACCTCTAAAACCAGGCCTCTGACCTCTGAAACCAGGCCTCTGACCTCTGAAACCAGCCCTCTGACCTCTGAAACCAGGTCTCTGACCTCTGAAACCAGCCCTCTGACCTCTGACCTCTGAAACCAGCCCTCTGACCTCTAAAACCAGGCCTCTGACCTCTGACCTCTGAAACCAGCCCTCTGACCTCTGATCTCTGAAACCAGGCCTCTGACCTCTGAAACCAGGCCTCTGACCTCTGAAACCAGGCCTCTGACCTCTGAAACCAGGCCTCTGACTTCTGATCTCTAAAACCAGGCCTCTGACCTCTAAAACCAGGCCTCTGACTTCTGACCTCTAAAACCAGCCCTCTGACCTCTAAAACCAGGCCTCTGACCTCTGAAACCAGCCCTCTGACCTCTAAAACCAGGCCTCTGACCTCTGAAACCAGGCCTCTGACTTCTGATCTCTAAAACCAGGCCTCTGACCTCTAAAACCAGGCCTCTGACTTCTGACCTCTAAAACCAGGCCTCTGACTTCTGACCTCTAAAACCAGGCCTCTGACCTCTGAAACCAGGCCTCTGACCTCTGATCTCTAAAACCAGCCCTCTGACCTCTAAAACCAGGCCTCTGACTTCTGATCTCTAAAACCAGCCCTCTGACCTCTGAAACCAGGCCTCTGACCTCTGAAACCAGCCCTCTGACCTCTAAAACCAGGCCTCTGACTTCTGACCTCTAAAACCAGGCCTCTGACCTCTGACCTCTAAAACCAGCCCTCTGACCTCTAAAACCAGGCCTCTGACTTCTGACCTCTAAAACCAGCCCTCTGACCTCTAAAACCAGGCCTCTGACTTCTGACCTCTGAAACCAGGCCTCTGACCTCTGAAACCAGGCCTCTGACCTCTAAAACCAGCCCTCTGACCTCTAAAACCAGCCCTCTGACCTTGAAATAAGGCCTCTGAACTTTGATCTCTAAAACCAGCCCTCTGACCTCTAAAACCAGGCCTCTGACCTTTGAAATAAGGCCTCTGAACTTTGATCTCTAAAACCAGCCCTCTGACCTCTAAAACCAGGCCTCTGACCTTTGAAATAAGGCCTCTGAACTTTGATCTCTAAAACCAGGCCTCTGATCTCTAAAACCAGGCCTCTGACCTCTAAAACCAGCCCTCTGACCTCTAAAACCAGGCCTCTGACTTCTGATCTCTAAAACCAGCCCTCTGACCTCTAAAACCAGCCCTCTGACCTCTAAAACCAGGCCTCTGACCTCTTAAACCAGGCCTCTGACCTCTGAAACCAGCCCTCTGACCTCTAAAACCAGGCCTCTGAACTCTGAAACCAGGCCTCTGACCTCTGAAACCAGGCCTCTGACCTCTGACCTCTGAAACCAGGCCTCTGACCTCTGATCTCTGAAACCAGGCCTCTGATCTCTGAAACCAGGCCTCTGATCTCTGAAACCAGCCCTCTGACCTCTGAAACCAGGTCTCTGACCTCTGAAACCAGCCCTCTGACCTCTGATCTCTGAAACCAGGCCTCTGACCTCTGAAACCAGCCCTCTGACCTCTAAAACCAGGCCTCTGACCTCTGAAACCAGCCCTCTGACCTCTGAAACCAGCCCTCTGACCTCTGAAACCAGCCCTCTGACCTCTGAAACCAGGTCTCTGACCTCTGAAACCAGCCCTCTGACCTCTGAAACCAGCCCTCTGACCTCTAAAACCAGGCCTCTGACCTCTGACCTCTGAAACCAGCCCTCTGACCTCTGATCTCTGAAACCAGGCCTCTGACCTCTGAAACCAGCCCTCTGACCTCTAAAACCAGGCCTCTGACCTCTGAAACCAGCCCTCTGACCTCTGAAACCAGCCCTCTGACCTCTGAAACCAGCCCTCTGACCTCTGAAACCAGGTCTCTGACCTCTGAAACCAGCCCTCTGACCTCTGATCTCTGAAACCAGCCTCTGACCTCTGAAACCAGCCCTCTGACCTCTAAAACCAGGCCTCTGACCTCTGACATCTGAAACCAGGCCTCTGACATCTGAAACCAGTCCTCTGACCTCTGAAACCAGTCCCCAGACCTCTGAAACCAGCCCTCTGACCTCTGAAACCAGTTCTCTGACCTCTGAAACCAGTTCTCTGACCTCTGAAACCAGTCCCCAGACCTCTGAAACCAGGCCTCTGACCTCTGAAACCAGTCCCCAGACCTCTGAAACCAGGCCTCTGACCTCTGAAACCAGTCCCCAGACCTCTGAAACCAGTTCTCTGACCTCTGAAACCAGTCCCCAGACCTCTGAAACCAGTTCTCTGACCTCTGAAACCAGTTCTCTGACCTCTGAAACCAGTCCCCAGACCTCTGAAACCAGTTCTCTGACCTCTGAAACCAGTCCCCAGACCTCTGAAACCAGGTCTCTGACGTTTGACCCTCGCTGGCAGATGATGAAACTTCTTTGTAAGCACAGCAGTTGGTTTCAGGTGAAAGTGTCGGTCATCCAGGCAGCAGAAGTTTGATCTTATCTCTGTTCAACACAACACAAGTTCAACATTTCAACACACTGATCACAGTTTGTCTTCATCACCTTAAGGGGGCTATATGTAAGTTTTTCAATGAAAATCATTAAATGTTTATTGTCTTATTGTCAGTGGGCTCAAAACCCACTTAGAAATTAAGCCCACGCCTGTTTTCTCTGTTGCTTCCATCAGACACTATTCTGCTTTAAATGTGAGGTCTCCCGAGCGCTCAGACTACAGCAACAACACGGCAGCTAACGACATGCAGTCCGCACCATAAAACAACCGGCTCACAGTAAAACACGGGCTCCACGTAAGGATCCAAAACAGCAGTAAAGGTTTATGTGCTGAAGCCCATCAGACCAAACAGGTTCAGATGATGTCGAGTAAGAACAAAGTGAGCATCAGTAAAGCTGGAGAAACAGAGAAAGTCACATTAGCTCGCCAGCTAATGCCGAGAGGTTGCTAGAGTTATCCGGTGCAAAGTTCTATCTCTTTCCACATTACTTCACCAACTAACATGACCCATGTTACTATCCTGTGTACCACTGTTGGTTTAGCCTGAAAAGATGTAACGGTGAAAAGTAAATGTGGACCGATTTGTTTACTATCGTTAGCCTATAGTGATGCAGCCATGAACAGCCAGCTAACGCTACAGTAGCTCAGACCTGCCGCTGTTTGCTTCGTAATGTTCAGTTTAGGTTTACTGTGGTTTTAATGATACTCAGGTACACGGCTTCTCCACCTGGGAGGATTGAGCCGATGTGCGGCTCGCTGCGCTGAATTAAAGGTACGCCGCCGTGTTGATCCGCCTCTGAGACGGGAACGTTGAAGTAACAGAGCCTGAACATGTCTGAGTGAAAAGCCACAGCCTGCATGCTGCTGTTCCTGCAGCATTTCTGTATGAAAGCGGTTGTGTTTCGGATTCTGCTGGCTCATGAGTTCCAGACACACGTACGAGCACACGCCTGGTAGCAATCTTAGAACCGCACCGCTAGTGGCCGCTGGAAACTCCATGATGCGCCTTTAAATAAAAACTTGATATGAAATGGAGACCTCTGCAGCAAATCCTCAGAAACTAGTCCCAAGACCTCTCTAGGCCTTGGACTTTTGACCTGAGGAGGTTTATAAGCTGATCAGGGCTGGACTGGTAATCTGGCACACCAGGCAAATTGACAAGAGTTAAAAAGTCTTTGGCTGCAACTATTGTTAATTAATTAAAAAACATTTTTATTGTGTTATTCTAATCACTGTATTTTGTCTACTTGATTTCATTTTCTTGTCGGATGTTCTTTTTACATAAATTCAAAATAAACATAATCAGAAATCTAGATCTAGATAAAAATCCACTTTTTATACCATTTTACATGCTAGTAGTTGTAGAGTCCAGTTTCTAAACTGGTTCAACTCACTGCAGTCTTCATTTGCGTAGAAAATGTAAAACAAGGAAGATGCCAAACAAAAAACATTTCTCATATTTCATTAAGATCTAGTTTTATGGATTAATAAGTGGACAGGGAGGTTTCAGATGTGTGATAACATCTTTTCTTTCTTCCCCATTTTTAAATGTCTTGATTAAGCTGAGGACTGCCTGTCCTGCCCCGCCCTCCCCCTATAAATTACTGCAAACAGCATCACCGCCTCCACTTGTACAGCTGAAGACAGCAGAAAGCTTCCTCCACCTGAGCAGGTAAATAAACCACCAACAGCAGTTTGTCCAGAGCTGAATTCCGTCCAGAACCTGGTTTCACTTTGCTGCAGGTTCATTTAGTTTTGAATCTTTCCTGTTGCAGCTTGTTGGAGACGAGCAGCTTGTTGGAAACAGCAGTGAAGGTGAGAAACTTTTCGATCATTTAGGAGTTGAACTGATTAACTGGGAGGTCAACTAAACACTGATGTTCTGCTGTTCAGATGAATCTCCTGCCCTGGATGATGCTGGTGTTCCTGCTCTCAGCTGGGACCAATTTGGCTGATGTGGACGTGAACTGGCTGGCTGGGATTGTAGAGGCCATCACAACGCACGTCAGGAGTCAGTGAGTAAACTCACAGTGGGACTGTATTTTATTATATACGTGTCCGTTAACTAAAAATGTAAAAATCCTCATTAGCTCTGGTCCCTTTAATCTGTCCAGTCAGATAGTTTTATGTCAATTCAATTCAAATTTGCTTTATTGGCATGAATGTTAATAGAACAGTTTTTACAGAGCTTTAAGAGAAATACGTTGTCTCCAGGTTTGGAAATATCTGCCTCCACATACAAAAGTTCAAACAACGGAGGTGAACTTGACAGAAACGGCAGTCTGATGTGACTCTGTGAAGCCGGACTTTTGTCGATAGCAAACTTATGACTTCGATACGATACCTGCCTAAATATGTCGATACCCAAAAATCCAACACATCAGGAAAAGTAACGGAGAAAAAGAAACGACAGAACGCGAAACTTAAAATTCAGTTTTTACTCTTATATATAATATATAATAATATATCTACTGTAGATCTTTTGAGAGAGTCTGTTAATTAATTAATTAATTGTCTTTTTAAAGAGAAAATACACTCAGAGTTCCAGACTTTAAGTTAATGTACTTTGACATAATGATATAATCTGACGTCCCCTATGCTTTTTTTGATGTCTTTGTCTAGTTTACTTTATATTTGCAGCCAGACATCACATATTAAACAGCGTCGTGGCCTAATCACGCTTATAATTTTGTATTGTATGACATTAACCATCCTATGCAACTATTTACATTCTGATCAGTTGTAAATTATTGTTAATTTCACCTGAAAACACAGTTTTGTTCACACTCAGAAGAGCTGATTGACTTTCATTGCTGGTCAGCTCTCTGCGATCTTTCTTTTCCTGGGTTTACGGGGACGTACTGTGTTTATGGTGCTGGTGTTGTTCGGTTTTTAATTTTAGCTGGTGAACTTCTGAGGACAGAAATGTTAGAACTGTCGTGTTCTGTAAGAACTTTGCATTTAATTTTCTTTCTCCCCCTAGTGGTCATCTGGGGGTAATTCATTATGTTCATATATAATTCTTACATTGTTTTAATTGGTTGATTTTGTCACATGATGCAGTCTGATCAGGAAATACATTAGTAGCTACATGCCGTGCGTTCAGCTTGCAGCTCCAGTCACCTTATCCTTTTCCCATTCTGCTTGGGCCTTGGGAAAGCATCACTTGTAATTTGTATTTTAATTTATAGTTAATTACATTGATACACAAGTGTCATGTAAGACATTCTGTGATGTTACTTGAATATTTGTTTACATGTGAAACTGCCAACGTTAAACTAGCTATTGTATTATTGTATAGCCTTTCTGTGAAGAGGTCGCCCATAGTTTATGTTAGTTTTAGCAGTTGAGCTCTATGGAGGACTGATCCTGACAAATTCAGAAATAAATACAGAAATAAATAAATGCTCAATAAATAAATAAGCAAACTGAAAACACTGTCTGTCAGAGTGTCCACATGAAAGACATGGCTGGTAGTGTCTTCAAACAGAGTTGCTAAACACCTCAGCGCACTGAAGGAAGCCATCTGACTGTGTGCAAGCAGAGAAGGCCTAGAGCTCTTCCATCTGACTGGTCCACCAATAGGGGAGAAGTTCACCCCTTGAGACCCCGCCCCTCCTCATTTGCATAACAAGGCAGAAATGCATAGAGAAATGTAAAAAGGACAGACAGAAATAAATACCACTGGGGAAATAAATAGGGTAGAAAATGCAACGGAAGAATAAAACAGACAGAAATATTAACACACACATAAATAAATATATTTAAAAAAGAAGTAATTAATAAATAAAGTTGAAGATTATAACGGACAATAAATAAATAAGGTAATTATTACAAAGGTGAATAAGTAAAGAAGCTAATTAAAATAGATATATACATTTATGTCTCCTTGTATAATTTAATTACTGCCTACATTTATTTATTTACTTAATTTAATCGGATGCTTATTTATTTATTGAGCATTTATTTATTTCTGTATTTATTTCTGAATTTGTCAGGATCGGTCCTCCATAGAGCTGCACGTACTATATTTACAAGTTACCAGCTTGAACGTAAAGCTGGATGTAATATGTTTATGTTACAACTTTGTAGCTTAGCTGTAGATTATTTTATGTCTGGTGATGTATAACATGTTTGAATAGCATTCAGTGATTGATGCTCTCTTTCTGTATCATTTCAGTTTTACAAAATTCCTTCATGAGAATTACGACAACAGTAAAGAGCCTTGAACTTTACTCCAGCCTCTGACTTTCTCTTGAAGCCTGTTAGCCATCTGTCAGTGTGTACAGTCCCTCACACTGAGGACAGAATAAAAACATAAAGAGTATAAGATCTGTTGGTGCTTTCACAGTCAGAGTTTATGATCTGACGGGCATCTATGAGACTTTCTGGAGTGAAGAACTTTGTTGCACACATGGACAAACCTTCAGCTTAAACTCCTTCTAGTCTCTCAGCAGCTTTGTTTTGTTTTGTTACAGTTTGTGCATCTTTCTCCTTCAACAGGTACGGGATAACAGGCCAGTACTTTCTGGCCACAAACATCCCGCTGAACCAGGACCCAAACACACTTTACAAGATCCTTCCGAAAAACGATGTTGGAGATCTAGTTCAAAGGCGGAACAGAGTAATGACAAGTACCAAAATGGTCATAGCTAGACCAAGAGAAACCTCCGGTGAACATGCAGATCCTCGAGTACTCAAAGACTTGGACAAATTGAAGCTAAACAGCCAGGGAAACTTCCTGCTCATCTACTCCTACCTCTCCCCATGTTCAACCAGGTGTGCAAACCCCCAACACAAGGACAACATCCTTAAATACTTTATTAACTATGCCCTTTCATCTTGGAATCATAATTATGCCTTTGTGTTTAAAAAAGTCTTTGATCAGCCTCAGGGTTATCCAGTCCCTAGAGAACAGTTAATAGAAGCACTGCAACACCTCGGGAATTCTGGGCTTGGTCTCAGAAACATTTACCGCTGTTTCAAACCAGAACAATCAACATTTCAGTGCTACAGCTGCTCGTTACAGAAGACAGTTTCAGAAGTTTGTGTTAATAACAACTTTGAGCCGGGACAGGAAGGAAACGACAACAACGTAATCAGTGGCAACAGTAGAGGTGGAGGTGCAAGCAGCAGCAACACAGGGCAAAGCAGAGGTGCAAGCAGCAGCAACACAGGGCAAAGCAGAGGTGCAAGCAGCAGCAACACAGGGCAAAGCAGAGGTGCAAGCAGAAGCAACACAGGGCAAAGCAGAGGTGCAAGCAGAAGCAACACAGGGCAAAGCAGAGGTGCAAGCAGCAGCAACACAGGGCAAAGCAGAGGTGCAAGCAGCAGCAACACAGGGCAAAGCAGAGGTGCAAGCAGCAGCAACACAGGGCAAAGCAGAGGTGCAAGCAGCAGCAACACAGGGCAAAGCAGAGGTGCAAGCAGCAGCAACACAGGGCAAAGCAGAGGTGCAAGCAGCAGCAACACAGGGCAAAGCAGAGGTGCAAGCAGAAGCAACACAGGGCAAAGCAGAGGTGCAAGCAGCAGCAACACAGGGCAAAGCAGAGGTGCAAGCAGAAGCAACACAGGGCAAAGCAGAGGTGCAAGCAGCAGCAACACAGGGCAAAGCAGAGGTGCAAGCAGCAGCAACACAGGGCAAAGCAGAGGTGCAAGCAGAAGCAACACAGGGCAAAGCAGAGGTGCAAGCAGCAGCAACACAGGGCAAAGCAGAGGTGCAAGCAGCAGCAACACAGGGCAAAGCAGAGGTGCAAGCAGCAGCAACACAGGGCAAAGCAGAGGTGCAAGCAGCAGCAACACAGGGCAAAGCAGAGGTGCAAGCAGCAGCAACACAGGGCAAAGCAGAGGTGCAAGCAGCAGCAACACAGGGCAAAGCAGAGGTGCAAGCAGCAGCAACACAGGGCAAAGCAGAGGTGCAAGCAGCAGCAACACAGGGCAAAGCAGAGGTGCAAGCAGAAGCAACACAGGGCAAAGTAGAGGTGGATTCAGAAGCAGAGTTTAGAGCCGTTCAGGGCTCTGCTGGGAGATTCGGGTGGTTTATCAGAACCTGGATCCTGACTGTGCTTATTATCGCAGTAGTTTTCTGTCATATAACAAGCTGAGCTACAAAGACTTGCATGTCTCTATGAATACAACCAGGGTGCAGATTATACAGTGACAAACGGGGGGGGTCAACTTTTTTTCCAGGTTCAAAAGAAAACCCAGTACAGCACAGACGAGGGCTTCCGTGAGCTAAAATCTTACAATGCTTACAATATCCCTGCTTATTTAACTAACGTCATCAGTCTGTGGATGATGATTTACATTTCATTTAGCTGACGCTTTTATCCAAAGCGACTTTCAATTGCTGTACATGTCGGAGGTCGCACGCCTCTGGAGCAACGAGGGGTTAAGTGTCTCGCTCCGGGACATATTGGTGGATGGGTCACAGTGGGGGATTGAACGCGGGTGTCTCACACCAAAGGCACGTGTCTTATCCACTGTTTCATCACCCATGTTCAAAGAAATCAAATTCATTACACCAGTTGATGGGGGCCACGTACCACACGACAACTTCTGTAGTCAGAAGTCACTAAGTGCTCTAGAGCAAAGCTGCCAGCAGGTCAGACCCGCAACAGCCGACCATCATGGCTGCTCAAACCAGACCCACACAGTGTTGATACAGAACTAAAGACACATAAAAACAGTCTGCAATATTATCTCTATTATCTAATTCTTATCATTCTCATCAAGTTAAAGTTTCAGCTAATATCTCCTTTCCTCTTGCTCATGCTGACTGTGAATCATTCAGACACTGTTGTTGGGGAACTTTGGGAGCTCCAGAGGTAAAACTAATGTCATGTTTATTGTGACTCACAAAAGACTCCAAATGAAATAATAAACTCTATACTGATGTAAAAATGTATCTCCACAATAACTAATTCCCAATTTCACTGCTCAAGCCTAAACACCAGTGTTAGCTGACAATTACATAAAATATTAAATTACATAGTTATAATGAAACGGGCTCTCAGCTAGCTAACATCAGATAGCTCATTTTAAGTAAAAGAAATGCTAATAATGAATCTCTGAAGGTGGGAAAGTAAGTGTATAAAAGCAGCTGGATAGATAACCACTGACTGCGACTGATGCAGACGGACACGACGTTCAACTAACGTCAATGTTAGGAAATGGTACGGTCCATTTTAGGGGTATGGTATGGGAAATATATTGTAATATTTACAAATACAGGTAAGAAAGATCCCAGAACTGTTGGTTTTGCCTCTTTTGGGGGCTCCAAGCGTTAACTAGGGGCGTCAGACCCCCAAATCCCCCCCGTAATTCCTATTAGTGTCGCAAACCAACTGACTGCTGCAGCTAAAGCAGTAAACGGGTTTACCAAGAGTCCGCAGTCCAGACTCAGACCTTTATGTACCTCTATTGAGAAAACCTTTTAGAGTCTGCACTGAAGCAAAGAACTTTACCAACATCTTTAAATGCCTTTGTGTCAAAAACGTTGAATGTAAAGTAGCAGAAGTATGAAACAATGTATTAGTGAATTATCCTGTGGCATTCAGCAAATAATTATATGTTTAATAATGATATTTGTTTGTTAACAGCACTTTTATTTTCTCAATGCAAAGCCTTTTTCTTGTGCTGCATGTTCATCTTGAATAAAGCTTGATTCAGCATCAAACCCTGTCTGACTTCCATCCCAACTACGACCAAAAAGATCAACAGACAATCAAATAACAATTGATAAACTAAGAAAGTATTTCAGTTGTTTGTTCAGGTGGGGATGAACTTCCAGAGAATCTGCAGCTCCACTCGGCTTTACGGATCTTTAGACTGACTTTCAGCTCGTTGTTTAAGGTGCCAAGAAAGTGACCCCCTTGGACTTCTTTGGTCTGATGTTCACAAGAGTCACGACAGCAGACTCAGATCTGCCTGAGAGAGTAGCAGAAAAACAATGACATGTTTGGGTGTATTTTTTGAATTATCTGCTTGAACGTTCAAAGTCAGGCTGTGAAAAGCAGGAGAACGCTTGGTTTTAGTAACGACTTAAACCAGGTCAACCTTTCCTGCATGCGTTCATGTCATCTCCACCCTGGCCAGGAGGATTTTAGGCTGCTTTCACACCTAGACCGCTTTGTTTTCTTCCGAATCAGTTTGAATACATCACTTGTCGCCATTACGTTACTACCTCATGAGCACCAGTTTTGCCCTATATTTTATATTTATGTGCCGTATATAAGGCACAACTACCCACTCAGTACAATTTCAACCCACTGAGGTTAAAACCTGACGTGTAGTAGCTTCTTTTAGCTACTAAAGGATGGTGTTTTGTTTGCAACTATCCTGTGTAATCAGAAAAATATAATCAGATTTGTTTATAGTTTTAATTGTTTAATCTAGGATTCATTGATTTTTAAAATATATATAATATGACTTTCAGGAGATTCTAGTGGTAGAAAGGGGGATAAGGATTCATCCAAAAATATATAAAAACATTGTGGTAAAGTTCTGCTGCTACTAGGGTGGTAATGGCGCAGTGGATAAGACGCCAGCATTTGGTGTGAGACACCTGTGTTCAATTCCCAAGTGACCCATCCAGCAATGTGTCCCTCAGCAAGACACTTAACCCCTCATTGCTCCAGAGACGTGCAACCTTATTTGGCAGTTGTAAGTGGCTTTGGATGAAAGTGTCAAACCAAAATTAAGTTGGATGAAGGACCATAATGAAAGGCCACTGGATGGCAGCAATGGACAAGAAATTCACAGCTGATGTTAGATCTGGTCTGAACATCTGGCTGTTTGTTAACTGTGGAAATGAAAACGTTAACTTGTATTTGACTTCATGTTGAAATAAATACATAAATACATAAAATACGCATTCAGTCACTAATATTATTTTCTTTGATCATATCATTATTAGAACTCTTAATATACGTTGCTAGTAAAAAAGCTGAAGGCACGACATCAGGATGGGACCAACTCCGCCTCCTTCTGAGCTGGGAAAACCCTGGAGGACCTTCATTATTTAACTTTCATGTGCGCCGGACAAATCATTAAAGGCAATAAGATCTGTTCTCATATCTACGCTGATGATGAAAAACACTGAGGTCTTCACTGATTGTGGTCTCAGTTTTAAAAAGAACCTGAAAGCAAAAACTAAATCAGCTTTCTACCATCTCAAACACAAACTGACAGCTTATGGCAGAACATGACTTGAAAAACTCAGTCATGCTTTTATTTCCAGCAGTGTCGACTACTGCAGTGGTCTTTAGTCCTCAGACCTCTGAAACCAGGTCTCTGACGTTTGACCCTCGCTGACAGATGATGAAA